AGGCAGAAGGCCGCCCACCAAGAGCCGGGGTCTGTCGGAGGTTTCTTCCGTTAAAGGGAGTTTTTCCTCCCCACTGTCACCAAGTGCTTGCTCAAGGGGGATTTGTTGGGTTTTCCCTATGTAATAATATTGATAACAGTAAGGTCTAGACCTTACTTTGTAAAGTGTCCCGAGATGACTTTTGTTGTGATTTGGCGCTATACAAATAAAATTTGATTTGATTTGACAAGGCCTTTAAACACTAGGTTCAGTTTCAGCAGCTGCACACTGAAAACTGTTGCTGCATCTGACAGCTTATTTCTGGTTGTCAACGCTTAGAAATCTGTTAAACAGGCTAAACTTATTATCAGGGATGCCTTTTACCAACTGTATGAGTAAACTTAAATACACATTACACAGAAAGGAAAATAGTAAGAAAGGGAAGGTTAAAGGAAGGGACGAAAGAGGTAAAGGAAACAAAAATAGAAGATTAAAAATAGCAAACCTTTGATTGGGAACATTATTTGTCTGATTTATCCATTAGCACATGAGGGTAACACTGTCTTTACAGACACTAGAAAGGAAGAAATAAATACAATAAGTACAAAAAAGGTTTTTGTGAGGGTTACCCAAAATATTATAAATACCAGAAACATGATCAGTGACTTTTTGATATATAAAAAACATTGTCTTGACATAATGACCACGACATCCTCATAGTGGCAGATTTTATTGTTTTGTTTTCCACTTTAAGTGCTTTAAGATAGAAAAATGTCCAACTATGAGTCATTTTCAGCCAGCTAAAGTTGCTGTTCTTCACATTCAAAGTCCCCTTTTCTCCATGACTGTAGATCTGAGTACTGTACATCCCAAGCCTCTTATATGCATTCACATTTCCCTTGCTTGTCAGTTCGTCTTAGTCCTGGCAACACAAAATACAAGGAAAACATGTGGGAAAAGAGGACTCAAGGAAACACATCATTAATTACATGACACTTCCTTACCTCAGATCCTTCATCTGAAATGAATGACCAATTACCAACTGATTTCTGATAAAGGGGCATGTTGGTCCATAAAAAACTTTAGTGATGGCTCCTCCAGCATCCTTCATGCTTCTCAGAGCAGATATAACAGACTGGGACGTCCTCGATCACCCAAAACAACTGGGTTGAGTGAGAACTGGGGACAGATCATGAGACCGGAGTAATACCTCGTTTCTTCCCTCATCCTCTGCTTCCTCCCGCTTTACCTATTTCATCACCTCCTGCAAGAATCAATTTCTTCTCCTGTCACATTCATATACTAACTTTTACAAAAATGACTGACCAAATTCCAAAATAAAAAAAAAACAACCTTTCAATGCAAAATGCCAACTGCAGTTCAATTTTCTACATTTAGGAGAAATATCCAAAAACTGATTCAAAATTGTACTGTTTCTTTTACAGTCATATTCTTATTTTGATAGTTATGTCTGTCTTTCCTGCCAGCTGGGGAAACATTTCACAGGAAAATATCCTGTTCAGTGATTCACTGTAGATTTAAAAAATGGCATAGTGAGGTTGCTTTGAAATCCATCCAAACTCCTTTAAAACAAAACTTTGCTTCACTATATGTACATATTAACAGAACACTAAACACTGAGATCAGTGGGTACTTTGAACACTTTTTAGTGGCTGAGCAAAATGTAGAGATGGACCGAACTACCAAAAATACAGACATTTCTGCAAACACTGCCTTTTAACTGGGAATAAAAAGATGCAGTACAAAAAATGTGCAAGTGTTTATGCCTGTGAGTGACTTCATTCAGTCTAAATCATCTGCTGACTTGTGCCAGGAGTCCATTGCACAAAGATGTCACCATGAAAAAAAAAATAAATAAAAAGATTTTTTCTGCATTGTAGGAACAGTCTCTTATTCAAAGAAAAGGGAAATAAAAGAGAGGAAATGTGCAACAAAGAGTCTGAATGCTGTCAGTTGCGTAATCTGAATATCTTGAAATCCTACACCTCTCTGATTCAAGGTTTCTGACAGCAAAGATCTGTGGGTCTTGTAGTTGAGTTCTCTTTCAAACTTGTAATGGACAGCCTGTTAGTGTTTTACTGAACTGAAATTTCAACAAGGAGACAGTGATGTTCAACTGAGCTCTTCCCTTTCCCAGCTGGCTCCAAAGATGCACTTTAAGAAAGCATCCATGCTCAGTTTAACATGGAGCTGCAGCAGCCCAACAGGAGGAATGATTGATGCCTGGTCTGCAGCTGTTGCTCTACTAGCATAATAGTGGCTATTTTTAATCCTCACTTGACCAACACTCATCATGCAGCCATGTTCAGTTGTCTTACACCGTGAATGTTCGCAAGTAAATATGAGAATCTTTTCCCATTTCTACCATCCGTCCTATATGATGTGAATGCTTCAGTGACAGCTTACTGCAATTACTTATTAAACTCTACTATGACATTATAAGCTACAAGATTTACACACCACCTGCCAGTAAAAGGTTGCACCTGACAGTGAGTGAGTGACACCTCTCTATTTGAGATCAGCAACTGGGATCGGTGACTTTGGGGTATACATATAAATAACATCGCCTTGACTTGACATGTCAGTAGACCAGCAGCAGACATGATGGATGATGTGTCAGAAGTGAATTGGATCAGATAGCAGAGACATCTCCATCAGCCAGTTTTAGGTCTTAGCATCATCTACAGCTCTGTCTCATTTCAGACTGCACTTCCTTCAAAGAGTAAATTGTATCAGGTCAAAGAAGACTGGCCAAAGCCTCTGGGCAACAAGATATTCCTGCAAAATCCTTGTGATGCCCAGTCTAATTGATTTTGTTTTCCACTTGAAGTCTTGCAGGAGGAAAAAATGTACAATAAGTCATTTCATTAAATTTTTTCATTGCTGTTCTTCATATTCAAACTACTCCTCTGTTCCCCATGACTGTGTGGATCTATTTCTTCCCTCCATCCCCTTCTTCCTCCTTCTCCTCCTCTTTGCCTTCTTCGTCACCTCCTGCAGCCACTTTCTTGCTGGCCTCTTCTCCTCCATCTCCTCCTTCATCCTCACCTTCTTTAGACTCTTCTTCATCGCCAGCACCCTGAAAATACAAACACATTTTAGATGTGATCACTTCAAAACTTGAAACAAACAGGTGTGGTTTTATTTTAAACTAATATGTGTCAGCTACTCACTCAACATTCTACAAATGTGTTATTGTTTCAACTAAACTAGCAGCTTCAAGTCTTAAGTTAAAGGACAGTGTGTATGGTCGGGGGGTGTACCTGCTTAAGACGGTTCCACCTCCGGCTCGGGACCCGGGCCTTCATCCTGCGGGACAGCGCCAGCAGCTTGTTGTGTCTCTGCCTCCTCTTCAGCTTCTCCGCCTCCTCTCTCCGCTTCTCCTCCGCACGGTCCGAGTCCGAGTCGTCCTGCGGCTGCAACCTGCTCCGTTTCCTCGGCTGCACCATCCTCTTCGGCTGGCTCCTCTTCTCATCATCCTCGTCTCCTTCTTCATCCTTCTCTCCGGGGCTGGAAGACGAGGAAGTGTCGTCCCTTGCCAGGAACGAGCGCTTCCTGCGGGTCACAGAGCGACTGTCGTCGCTGGATGTCGCCCCGGACTCGCTACGGTCCCGGTAATCCTGCTCGCTGTCCTCCTCTGGGGAGCTCTGGAAGTCGGACTGAGATCCGGAGGTGGAGGAGGAGAAGGAGCCTTCGTCACTGTCGTCCAGTATAGATGCGGGTAGGCCGATCTGTCGCTTCTTCGATGCAGCCACCTTGGTTTTCCGCATCGACGCGAACATTTTCCGCTTGTACAAACTCTCCATGGCTACACGTGGTACCAGAGACCAGTGACATTAAATAGAAACCAAAAAAGAGAACCGCACCGAGTTTAAACAAGCTAATGACAACAGCTAGCTGGCGTATATCATCTGCGCGTCACAATGATAAAAGCCAATGTTTCTGTCAAAAACACAGCCCAGCAACTTAATTCCCCTCCGTGTATTCCAATTTCATACTCTTAACGGAAAACGTCCTGTCCATGTGTGTAAAAACAGCATTTCCAATCTAAAATTTGGACATTTCTCAGATTCTCATCTTCCGTACAGTACTATTAGCTATGTCCTGTTGATATTATGGCTTCTGCTTCTGCAGCATTATATGACAGCATAGCTTGTTAGAGCGCCCCCAGCGGCAGAGAGCGCCCATTGCTGCTGGAGACAGCTCCGATCCTTCAAACACAGTTGAAGACGGTAAATGATAAAACTCAGAAACGATGAAACTGAAAAAAATCTAGCTAGACTGAAACTAAAATTATATCAAAATAAAATAAAACATTTGAAATGTTATCACAACTCAAACTAAATACATAACATAAAATTCATGATAAAAGCATCACTGTTAAAGACAAAACAACAATGTCAATATAGGCCATAGTACAGGCACCTAAAGGAGACCAGAAGACCAAAACTGAACTAAAAAGTTGGATATTGTGCTGAATGAAAAGAACAAAGTCCGGGCATTCATCAGGTGATCAGGAAATGAATGCAAGTCAGTTACATTACCAAAACACTACTCCAGTGACATGATATTGCTCTGTTGGATGTGGAACATGTTAGCCACAATAACTTTATAAATTGATAACAGGGTTATGAGCCTTCTGAACTCTTTGCCCCCTAGAGGCCTAGAAAAATCAATACACGGAGCTTTAAGAAAGAAACCCGCACTTAGATGGAACTTTCACTGGAATTTTAATGTTAATATGAATAAGTGGTTACAGAGTTTGAATCGCATCATGAAAATGTCGACATTTATAAAATATTGCAATAATCTCTGTCATGAAATGGGCAAACTCAATCTGTCTTTTATATACTCTGGTGACCTTTGACCCCTCAGGTGTCCTTGCATCATGTCCTCAGTCAGGCCTTCTGTGCCAGAAGTGTGCTCAGTTTGATCTTCCCATCCATGGAGGCGGTCAGGCAGGTGCCGCAGTCCACCGCAGAGCACCAGTCAACTGTCACCACCGGAGCTTTATGCCCGCCAAGCAATAGCACACTCTCCAGAGCTGGCTCCTTATTGCTCAGCTAGAAGACAAAGAGGAGAAAAGGTGGAAGGCGAGACAGGTTAGCAAACTGAAATATACACTTAAATAGTACATTTGATTCACCACAGTGAAACAAAAAATGCTAATGTTTACAAAGAGTCCTATTAAATTAAAAGTACTTCGAGAATAAAATGTAATAAAAATGAATATCTATCTATCTATCTATCTCTATATCTATATCTATATACACCACTAGGATCTACAGCCAGGAGGAGGAAATCTGAGTAAACTAATTTCAAGCATAAAAGAAAAGAGGGTGATGGGGTACAGACTGAGAATGTGGGCTCAGCATGAAAAAGACAAAAAAAAGAATAAAAGCTAAGTGTTCAAAGTTGTTCCAGAACATGCCTGAGGATTTGGCTGCAATGAAGACAATTGTGCTAAACCAGTTATGGTGGTGGGGGAGAATGGCACACACTGTAACAAAATAGGGACCACTGAGTGTACTGTCTACAACCCACACCACATTTACTCAATAACTGTCCTCTTTCTTAAATCAACAAGCCTAACGCTGTTATCTGAATTAGATGAGTCACCTTTTCTTGCTAGTGTGTGTGTGTATGGGGGGGGGGTGATGACAATAGGGACAAGGAGATAGAGCTGAGCTTTTCCTGTCAATAAAAGAGCAGCAGATGGAAAGGAAGACACATGATGTAGAGTCAGCATGTAATATAAATAAATATAAAGAGGTGTGGGAGTGTGTGTTTGATTTTATGTTGCCCTCCAGTAAGTGATTAAATTCACGGTGTGTACCAGAGGAACTAGGGAAGGAAGAGCACGTACTCTCATGGAAGGACAAACCTCTGCACAGTATGTACCACCGTCAAATAGCAGAAGTGGCTGATATCGAAAAATCCTACCAGTGGCTGGACAAAGCTGGATTGAAAGATAGCACAGAGGCACTACTCCTGGCAGCACAAGAACAAGCTCTAAGTACAAGATCAATAGAGGCCGGGGTCTACCATACTAGGCAGGACCCCAGGTACAGGCTGTGCCAAGAATGATCCAAAGCACACCAGCAAGTCCACTTCTGAATGGCTGAAGAAAAACAAAATGAAGACTTTGGAGTGGCCTAGTCAAAGTCCTGACCTGAATCCAATTGAGATGCTGTGGCATGACCTTAAAAAGGCAGTTCATGCCCGAAAACCTTCCAATGTGGCTGACTTACAACAATTCTGCAAAGATGAGTGGGCCAAAATTCCTCCACAGCGCTGTGGAAGACTCATGGCAAGTTATCGAAAACGCTTGATTGCAGTTGTTGCTGCTAAGGGTGGCCCAACCAGTTATTAGGTTTAGGGGGCAAACACTTGTTCACACAGGGCTTTGTAGTTTTGGATTTTGTTTTCCCTTAATAATAAAAACCTTCATTTAAAAACTGCATGATGTGTTTACTTGTGTTATCTTTGACTAATATATAAATTTGTTTGACGATCTGAAACATTACAGTGTGACAAACATGCAAAAAGATAAGAAATCAGTAAGGGGGCAAACACTTTTTCACACCACTGTATCTATCTATATATAAACACACACACACACACACACACACACACTTCAAATGGTATTTCAATATGTCTATCATCAATTTAAAACACTGAAGTTCCAAAGTTTAACCAGAGCAGACTGGATGTGAGGACTGATGAAACTGTGAAGGTGTATTACTTTGTATATGACTCCTCCGGAGCTGGAACAGGTCAGGACATGCTGTCCTTCAGAGTCAAAGGCAAACAACCGACCTCGAGGAACCTGAACCTGAACAAGAGTTCATTCACAAATTTAGGCATCTGTGTGTCATTACATTTATTTTATTATGATCAATTACATTCTTTTATCTGATTTTGCATAGGCAGGATTTATATTCTCATTATGGCATGTATTAATGTAATAAAGATGTCGACAAATTGTTTTTCTTCATTTATATTCTTATGACAATTCATTGATCTGTTAAGTTGGGTTTAGTCTTGTTCACTTGGAAAGCTTCGCCATCCTGTTTTTTAGTATTATAGTGGTCAAGTGAAGAGTAGAGGAAGTAGTCTGCAACTTAAACCATGGCAACACTGCATACCTGTTTGTATCCGCTGTATCCTGAGAGGACGAAAGGCCCGGTGGCATCCTGAGGTAAAGGCTGTTCTGACTGCTTCACCCCACACCGATGGATGTTCCACTGGATGAACTGAAAACACACACACACAGACACACATTTGTTTTCTTTCCTTGTGGTGACATTCTATTGAGCCTTTTCAGACATGCACAGAAACCCTGAACGTATCTAAACATTACCCAGAGAGGCAGTATATGTGAATGCAAATGTCCAAATCACTTGGGCTGGACAGTAGATAAACTTTAATCTACTAGCTCCCCAGTACAAAGTCCATGTAATGTCTGATTGAGCCCATGTGTGAACAGAGCAGGTTATTGTCTGGAGAATTCACACTAAGCTAGTAGGCATGTTGATGACATTTCTTCACTCGACTGGCATGAAACCAGAAGAATACAAATATCTGAGGATGGAGAAGAAGGGTGCATTGTTTAAGTATGCTTAAAAAAAAGTTTTAAGACATTTTTGCGATCTGGAGACATTCTACCCACCATGATGGGTTTCACACAAAATAAACACGCACACAAACCTTGCCATCTTCTCCGATGCTGAAGACAGTGTTTTCATCGTAGCTGAACTCCACACTGTAAACTTCTCCGTCGTGAGCTCTCCAGCTCATAGCGCTCTCATAACGCTGCATATCTACATCAGGGACATCAGAAGGTTCAGTAGACTGTGTGTTCACTAATGAATATGTAAATATATAAGACAGCGTGGCCCAAAATCTCACACACACAAAAAAACTACACCACTACACGTCATAGTATAACTGAACTGGTTCAGTAAAATGTTAAAATAGTCTGCTCAGGAAATCTTTGATTAGAAAAAAATCTCTATGCAATTTAGTACAAAATGAAGGTAAATGTCACTGTGAGCCCCAGTAACTGTCTGTGAAGGTTTTTTTTTTCCCTTGTGGTTTTACAGTTTAAGTGATTAACCAAAAACAGTCCAAACAATGTGAGGAAAAAAGGTCACTATTTGTATGAAAAACTGACCAAACAATCTGATGACTCCGTCAGCAGCTCCGGTCACCAGCAGGTTTCCGTTGTGGTTGAAGGCTGTGCAATTAATGGCTACTGGATCAGGTTCTAAAGAGAACTGGAGCTGAGAGACAGACACAGCACTGATAATACTACAGCCACAAGAAATAATACATTAAAGGTAATGCCACATATGCTAACCTTACCACCACAATTAGCATCAGCAAATTAAGGTTACATTAGTGTAAACACTGGGATTAGAGCTTAGTGCTAACATCCTAAAAGTTATCATATTAATGTGACAGGTACAGAATCTGAAATTACTAACAATAGGGTGTGTTTTACTCCTTTATGCAAGTTTAATGTAGTTCATAGTTGTGCAGTTCATAACTAGAGCCAGATGAACACATTCATAGTTATTTGACATCAAGATCTTAATCTTAACCAATGAGCAACACACAGTGGCTTCAGCCACCACGAACTAACAGCAGGGTGTGGAGGCAGGACAGGAGAACCTGCTGAATGTTACCACAACACTAATAACGTGACTGGTAGCTGAGGATGGTTTGTTAGTCTTGGGGAATACTACTGCATATATCATATATGAGAAAAGTTGTGTAAAGCTGTCCAAAATCTGTCTCAAGTGTCATATAAAAAAAACTATCTAGTTCTGCTGTAGCGTTTTTGATACCATTATAAACTGTCCACTGTGAGTCCAATGATGTCACACTAAATCCATCCTTTTTTAACTGCCGACAGCTCTCTGATGCATCAGTTTGTTAGCTACATAGCTATTACTGAACTAGCTGGTTAATTACCTGTTGTTTGACAGTCTTGGTGTCCCAGAGCAGCAGCTGTCCTGACACCGTTGCAGGAAGTCGAGAAACAGACTCGACACTTCCAGACCGACTGAGAGCTGCAGCCGAACACACGAACGATGAACCACTAGGACTGCACGCTAAAGACAAAATACTGAAAGGCAGAGGAGGGTCACATTATTATCACAATTTGTACCTCAACAACCAATATTATTTATTATGGTACAAAATGTAAAACCTGAATTCAGGAATTCAGAAGTTTAACCAATTTTCTAGTTTAATCCAAGTAAGTAATCCTGTATGTAACTCCACCTAAAACTTCATTGTTTTTAGCCATGCTAGTGTCTTTTATGATTTTTGAAATGACTACTATTGGAGTGGTTGCCATGAAATTTGGATAATTTTATAACATCTATATACTGATTGGATCTGCTTTAATTTGGTAATAATCCACTACAAATATATAACACAAAACTAATTTATGTTATTTTTCTGGTGTGACAATAAAGGTAGCACTAGTGCTAATCACCTTAGGGTTATCCATGAACAATCTTAGATCAGATTAAGGGTTTGTTTTCCTGTTCTTTGTATGAATGCAGCGTTAAAACGGATATGGGACTGATCTCAGCTCATTCTAGGAGAGAAAACAAGAGTATTCCCTAAATGTTTAACTGTTTTTATTAGTATACGCATTTTTCTACTTGATCAGCTGAGGACCTCCCCTTGCAGCTAAACAGTTATATGCAGTCACTTAGTACAGTACCGTGGATGAGTTTCGTCAATGTTCATCTCATAAAGATTCTTCTTGGTGTCTGTATCGTATAGCCGCACTGTGCCAACACCGCTGCCTAGTAACAACTGCCCACAAACACACACAGAGAAATTTGTCACACAGGAGGACATTTCATTGACTTGGAGACTTAAGCAAAATTTTGTTATAACCTACTACTGTACATGCCTCACCCAAAACCCATGTCTTAGCCCTAATAATGGGAGGTTGGTCCCCATAATGTGACTGTGTGACAAATTTTATCCCCACAGTGTAATACACACTGTATACACACATACACTTGTTTTTTAAAGGCTGGGTAGTTAAAGCTATGTTAGATCCAAACTATAGTAGAAACAACTTTCATTGTACCACTGTGAAAATAATAAGTTACATTTTGCTATTTTTATCCTTTGTCATCTTTCAGTATTTTATTAATTGTATTAATTGTTTTTAGTCTGTATCTAAGTGTCAACCCTGTGATAGACTGGCGACCTGTCTAGGGTGTACCGCACAGTTTATTGAGGATTGAATGTAATCATGTAAATGGTGTTTCCTTTATCAGGTGGATGTATTGATAGATATCCAATTAATACTGTTAATGTCTGTAAACTTAGTCAGGCTGTGTTTCTTGTTCGTACCAGTCTGTCAGGTTTGGTAGCCCACTCCAGAGACAGTAGAGAAGACTTCGACATAATGGTAGCTTTAGTCTGCATAATGGGATTGAATGACCACACCTAAGAGGACGACAAAGAAACCTTAATTGTTTGTTTCAATTAGTTAAAAAATAGCAACTGTACAGTTTTTCTTTTCTATGCTCATACAATCCCCAAAGATAATGATGCAAATTCACCTTGATGACTCCATCTACATCCAAACTGGCAACCCGGCGACCAGAACAGTCAACCCTAGCAAACAGAAGGAGAAGGCATGGAAGAAAAGATTATTTATTGAAAAGTGAAAACTGAATTGGCAAAGTGCTGAAGGCAGACCTGCAGTGCATGATAGAGGAGTGGTGTTCTCCATACTCCTCCTGGCTGAGTTTGATGAAAGGCTGTTCTGCTGGTAGACCTCCTCCTTCTGTTCCTCCTCCACAGCTCCTGCTGTTGGAGGAGGAGTCAGGAATTTCACCAGAGGTCTCAGCAAGAGGCTCTACATCCCCAGCCTCCCCCCTCTTCTCTGGTATCTGTAGATAACATGTCAACACAAAAACAAAATAGATTGTTTCCCCAAATGTCAAACTATTCCTGTAATAAAACCGATGGAAAAGGCACATGCATTAGATGTGACAGAAAAGCATCAACATTACTAAGCTTCACACAAACTCATTCTGTACCTGTGGTGGTGGTTTAGAGAAAAGCTCCTTTCTCTCTTTCTCATGTTCCTGGATTCTCTTGTGTCTGTGATGTGTTGGCTGATTTGTCACCTGGTTTGTTGACTGCTGGGACTGGGAGCATGCAAATTCATTGCTTGATGCCTGGCTGGAAACTGGCTTCACTTCCTTAGCTTGCATTGCCTCTTTTGACTTTGCAGGCTAGAGAAGGCAAAATCACTTTAGATACAGAAGGAAATCTCAGATCAGAACTCTATGAACCACTCACAATGGTGAAGATCTTCAAAATGGCTGCCAGAGGAGAGGATTATAACCAAAAATGTAGAAAAAAATGATCTGTTATGAACCATGGCAAGGCTATACTCTCCAAGGGCAAAGGGTTATGGTGTCAATAAAGGCAATCACATACAATCTGATCAGCCAAAAGGAGATGGTCACTTCAGTAGCCTACTTGTTTTCCAGCAAGCTTTACACAAATTTAAGGTTTGAAGTTTACTTTTTACGATCCTTGTGACTGGATGGTATTTTTCAAATTCACCAATGAGTTCAGAATAAGGTAATTTTGGAATTTAGCAGTTGGCATGATCTGATTTCAAAGAATCTCAGTTTACTGTTTACAATTCTTCCCCAACTTGCTTTCACCTGACTGGTAGGTGGGTCCTTCCTGCTCACTGCTCCCTGGGTTGGCGAAGACCCAGTCATGACCTGAGCTGGTTTCACCGGAGTGCGTCGGCCCTGTGGTAGGAATGTAGAGAAGAAGTTTCTAGAAGGAGTGGTGGCAGTGCTCACGGCTCGCTGGCTCGACACCAAGTCCCTAACCGGGCAGAAGGAAACAGCAAAAAGTGAGGAAGTTTAAAAACAAAACTAGTAAATGAGTACAAAACATGCACTGAGTCGATGCGGTGAAAAACTCCACTATGGAAAAAGACAATCACGATTCACACACTTGGACAGGAAGCTAGAAGGACCCAAAGAAATACGAAGACAATACAATAATTGGTAGATTGCAATATTTTTGGGAGCATCCTAAGTAGACATGAATATAATGATAGATTTTATTATTGTCAGTGATGATGACTTTGTGTGGCACCGTTGTTCACCTTTTACTTTTGCCTAGTTTTTAGATTAAGGTCAAGCTGTTGTGCATTCACCTTATTAGTGAGGTTTCCACACAAATGTAGTGCAAATTTTAAACAAATTTTCAGAAAATGTGAAATCATTTACTGTATGTTTCCATCCTCTAAACCTATATAAATATTGTGAATTCTTTGTGATATAGGCATTGATAAAAATTGGCTGGTGCTAATTCTCCAGCAAGGTGCCATTAAACTACTGCAGAAGATGAGGATTAGTATTTAGAGAAACAGTAGCCAAATTTTAAACGATACAAAACTGTAAGAAAATATGGAGGGAAATTTGACATTTCTATTTATGTATTAATGTGAGGATGGTAACAATCTCCACACAGGTCTGATGTTTAAGTCTGCTGCCATTTTTGTCTCTTAAGTGGTGCTGAAGCTTCAGTGGATGTTTAAGTTTCCTTTGCACTGAGTTGCATATTTCTCTGGGTGGTACACCAGCTTTTCTTCCTTGGCCAAGCATGAACATTTTTTGGCAAAACATTTTCTGTTTCAGCTCTGTTTTGACTCTATCCAGTCTCCCTGCACCTACTGATGTAATCTTTTTCCTTACCACGGTTACATCCTGCTCACCACTGAAAGTGTGAAGACCAGAAGGTAGATGCTGGTTGACTTGGGACTTGCAGGGCCAGGTAGTATCCTATTGTATCTGGCAAGCTAACCGCTAACATGCTAGTGCGAGTCAATCACAGTAGCTCAGTACTGTTAAGACAGCTTACTACAGGGTCACCAGTGCAAATTTCCACACCAGAGTTCCCTAAAATGTAACTTAATGCTGGTGGAAACAAGTCTTCATTGTAGAGGAACTCAGTCAAATAATTTCTGTTTCAAAGGCAGACAACAACATCAAAGACAGAGGTGGAACAAGCAGACAACAGCAACTGTGCCTACCATGTAAAAGAAAAAGAGGATGCCAAGCAACAACGAAGACAATGTAGTGATAGGACAGCACTTTTGGCCATTGCTGCAGAATGAAAAACCACTTGTGTTTCTGAACAGAAACAGACAAAATTGTGATTTTTCAGGATATTTTGAAGGACTGTAAAATTTGTTTGGAATTTTGATAAGCTGTGTGTGTGCATGTTACCACAGAGGATCATTATTTGCATGGACAGAATTCCTTTAGCTGTTACGCTGATGACACCAAACTCTACATGGGTGTTCATCCTGATAACCTATTCTTTCTACCATGTATAAAGTAGACATGAGTACTGCATTGCTCTCAGGTATCCAAAAATGATGTTATAGCTGTTAAAAAAAACCACACACATGGTTTCATTTAGGCAGTTTCAGACCAAACGTGTAAGGTGTAATGTAAGCAATCTAAATATTAATTTTCTATGCTGGTATCTGGTTATATGGCTAAATATAACTGATGTGTATGGTGGTGGTGGCTCAAAAATATTTTTACCCACAAAAGAGGGGATCCAGCAGAAAAAGTCCAGGAACCACAGCGCTAGTAGAAAACGCAGCTGTTACAAACCAAAGTCAGGGAAAGAAAAATTATTCTGCTTTTGTCATTGCTACCCTGATTATCCATTTATTTTATTTGAATTTGCAATTCAGAGTTTTTGTCTCATCACCATCTCTTGTGCAGCTTGAGGTCCACAGACAAGACCCTGCTGGTTGTTCTTGTGAAGAGACCACTGGGAACCATGGTCTAGCTGTCAGTGCTCCTACTCAGGAGTGACCTGCCTGAGAAACTCAGGCTCTTCAAATCACTGTGCTCCTTTTTACAACCTCTGCAAATAAATTATTATGTCCTGGGATACCAGGATCATTGTGTTGTTTTTTTTTTCATTGTAAACTCTAGTGTACTGTATATGGTAGCCTGGTCTACAGTCTTCTATCAGCATGTCAAATCCCTAAATGCAATTTAACAAATGGACTGTACTGACAAAAAACAACAATTCATCAGGTGAATTGTTTATTTGGCAACATCAACCGCATCATAGCACAGTGTAAAATAAATAACAATAAGTTAGTTAACACCCCTTTAAATATGTATATGTATATTTACAGTTGTCTTCAGAAAGTATTCAGCCTCCTTCACTTTTAGCACACTTGAGTGTATTGTACATGCAAATTTAAATGGATCATATTGCCATTTGTTCCCATCACTCTACACTCAACAACATGAAAACAGTTTTAGAAATTCTTTGCAGACTTATTAAAAGTAAAACACTGAAATCTCTCAGCAGCTTCTTCTATTTAACAGTTGATCACAGTTTGGAGTATCACAGTAAAGGCTCTGAATAGTTTCATAAATGGGAGATTTCAGTTTTTGATTTTAATACATTTGTAAAATAAAAAGCTTTCCCTTTGTCATTATGGGTCATTGAACATAGACTGATGGTAATTTTTTTCCATTTAGAATTAAATCTACAACACAATAGTGTTGAAAGGGGTCAGAATGCTTTCAGTAGCCACTGCTCATGAATGAAGACATGATATATGAACAGATTTGTCTGCTTTAAAGTGCCTGAAAATTCTTCTAAAAATCATTCTGGGATGAAGATGTAATGTTACTCAATGACAGCGTATTACAACAAGTCTAAAAACAAAACAGAACCCAGAAACCCTCGCCCCCAAAACCTTCATCATGCTTCCCTCTCAAGATTCTGCTGTTTCTACAGATGATGATAAACACAAAAGTATTAGTAACTATGTATTTTAACAGTGAATTCTTCTCTGGTATTACTAGACATTTCTGATTTTATTCTCAAAACCTCTGCCTTGTTATTCTCAGAATTCAGAGAACAATATCTGAACTCAATTGATATCATTACTTTTCAGTAGCATCAACTAATAACTTCATCCTTCATCCAGCAAGAGGTCAGCCATGTTATCTTCTAAAATTCAGCTAATCGAAATTTATATTCTATACAATCAACATATTAGATTTTTACTTTTCAGATAAAATACTAGGAAAACTAAAGTATTGAATTAGTCAGCACACTGCAGTGAGGTAAACCTGAATAACGATCTAGCATGCTGAAAGGCTAACATTAGAAATGTGTGTCCTATGATTAGTGGTAAAAAAACAATTTTTTAAAAATCCATCTGGATGAGAAACACTGAACTGAGAGGGACAGCATTTCTGCTCAGATAAATAAGTTTAAAAGACCATTTAGGTAGAATCTTTAAGATGACTGCTATCTGTAACTCATAACACATAATATAGTTTTTGTTTTCATGTAAATACTTCTATTTAACCAGCATAAAATTACTTTATCCCTGATAATATGGTATCTTTGTTTTTATACATCAGAAGATGAATCCATCCATTTCTTTTAAAGTGTTGCAACCTAACCTATGGAGTCAGTGTGATCAGGTATGTCACTAATGTTTTGACTTGTATCATGCTGTCAGCTCTCTTTTAAATCAGGACTCAGCACAAAGATTTTAAAAAGCTGACAGAATGGCAGCCATCTTTGGTGTAGCTGGTCATCAGTAAAGATAGTGATGTTAGTGTCTCACAGCTCAGTGTCTCCCAGACGGTCCATGTTCTGGACGTACGCTGGCAATTTGTGGTGGGGCATCTCATCTCTGTCCCTCTGGTCTCGACTCTCTGTCTGTAGCGCAAAGAGCTGGACGAGATAAGACAAGACAGATGGGTCAGTTGAGAAAATCTATATACTGCATCTACCCTGCTACCATCTAACCATACTTCAGCAAGGACAGTCATGATGGACAGAATAGCATATTTTTAAATCTCATGACATCTTGTTAACAATAGGACATTTTAAATACATAGATTTTTTTATGAAAAATGACATTTTCAGCCAAATGATGTGACTTTTGTAGGTAAATGATGGAACTTTTTAAAATAAATGATTTAAAAAGCATAATGGGACTTTTTAAACCAAATAGACAGCGGTAATGTGATCTGTGGTAACTAAACCACTTTTTTTTTAACAAAATGACTGTACTTTATTAGCTAAATTGTGGAACTTTCATTCATTTTAATACATTTTAAAAACAAATATTTGGACTTTATAAATCTTACTGGATGTTTTTAGATTATGAAGACCTCAGATACATTTTTTGTTAAAACAAAATGAATTGCTTAAACCACGAGACTTAAAATTAGCATTTATATTTGACTTTTTTTATTTATTTAAGAAATTGACTGGTGAAATGTTCTTATAAAACAGGAGCCACTAGAAGGAGTTTTTTTTAGCGCTTTTCTTCTCACCAGCTGCCGAAGCTGTTCGTTTTCATCGGTCAGGCTGGTCATCTTCTGGACCTCAGCATCAAAACTCAGCAGGACAGGCTGGGGTGTAAACAGTTAAGGATGGGAAACAAGTAAATCCAGAATTTAAATGTCACAAAGATACAGTGTGGCATCCTCTGTAGTTTCAGATGTGCATTATAATACATTTACTATTAAACAAAGCCTTGCTTCAAACTACGCATTCGACTGTGATTATATAGACGACTGCTCAAGGATATGCATATACTGGAACAGGACTGAGAGGAAGTTGTGCAGTGAAACCAGGAAGGTGTCAGCCCACTGACGGGAGAAGTATGGAGAGAAGGCGGGATTTTGCTCGGGGGAGGGGATAAACGGCAGGATGAACCAATCCCGCCACTCGACCTGACCTTGCAGCTCCAGTGCTTGCTTCTGAAAAAACTCCTGAGTCTTCTCCAGGTTTCCTTTCTGCAAGGATGGAGGAACAGCTGTGATTTTAAACTGCTGTTCCATTTCAGAAATATAATCTATGATGTAGTTTATTTCTCTACAGGATGTTACCTGGATGGTGTTAATGACATAGTATCTGTATAGGCTGGTTCTCAATTTGTTGACAGTGGATCTGTAAACATCCTCCAGTCTGCAGAACAGACGTCTGTCCAGGTAAAGCCAGTAGTCCTTCAGGCCAAATAAGTCAAAGGTCTGGACAAACTGCTGTAGCTGATCAATGATCTTATCCACCTGCGGAGAGAAGAGGATTTATATTCAAGACAAACTTATAGATCATCTCTTTCTTAGGTTACGAGTAAGAACCATTATAAAAATGTTTCAGACAAAACCATATCCATCCATTTTTATATCAGTCATACCCTAAAGCCTTTCTCCTTGTCAGCTTTGATCTCACTGTCCAAATGCTTTAGAGTGGTGGTAAACCCACGGTAGGTCAGATACTCCTTCACATGTTCATCTGTCCTCTCCACTGCTGACCCCATGGTGACCTCTGATCCTGCAACATGCAACATGACAGTGGCTCATACAGTTTTTCTCTTTATTTACAACCAATCAGGAAAACCTGATCTCTTTAGTCTGTGGTTGTTCAGTTCAGATGTACTGGCCTTATACAGCAAATGTCTGCAATGTTAATGTATGGTGTAATTCATTTTAGGGGTTTTTCTATGTATGTGAAACAGAGTTGGCTTGTGTCTTTTTTTTAATTTATGAAAAAAAAATTCACTGCAAATGTTATTTATCTAAACTTTTTTTTTTAAAGTTTTTTTATATTCAAATATCCGTTTCCTTCATTCTGAGGTGATCTCCGGTTCTTTCTTATTTCAAGACATGGACACAAAGTTTGAATTTTCTAATGACATTAATAAAGAAACTCTACTTAATGAGGATCGTGGCCAATCTGCTCAGTAAAGTCAGAATGGGCGTCAATCCGGACTCCATGTAACAGATCGGTGTACACTGCATACCTTGAACCAGTAAAAAGAGGCGACCTGCATCTCTGTAAGACCTGACAATATCACAAACATCCAATAATTTATAACAACCTAAACACCATCTCGTTATTTGTGTTGGGGGATTAATAACGCTAAATCTAACGTAGCAGTTTCTGGAGGGAGTCGTTTTGACTTCTACCGCGCTCATGCCAAACTCAATTCACAGATTGTAAAGCTGGACACATGCAGCCTATAACTGTCAGCGGATGATGCATTCATGCCAAAGTCCTAAATTACGCATAGTGCACTATTTGTGTTCAATTTGAAGTGACACGCACGCTCCATAAAGCGGCTATTTTCAGCATCGATGTGTTCCAATATAAACGACTTGACCATTACTTTTATGTATGTAAAAACTGTGATCACATTTCGTAAATGACGTGTAAAATTGTGTCTTAAAATTGACGTACCTGGGTGGATAATCAAGATTCTGTTAAATTTCGTGAAGTTAGAGTGGAGTTCGTGTTGTCAGTTCAAACAAGACAACAGCCCCTGCAGCAAAATCTTCAACTCACTAAAGCGAAATAAATGTTATTTAAACAAAAAAGCCAATAACACCCGGAGGACAGACCTGCTTCTTTCATAATCTGAATGGAATAAATTGTAATATAGTTACAGCACCAAAGGGGAAAAACTCTTTTCCTGTTGTCTTTTCCTCGTGACAGTCACGTGACAAAAATCTTACTCTTCTTCTTCTTGTTTCATAGATGGTTGTCAAACAACGAAACAGCCCATTACTGCCACCATCTGGACTTGAGTGTTGATCGGGAAGCTAACATTTTACCATTGCCAAAACTTAAAACGAAAAAAGAGGAAAAACAACAACAACAACAAAAAGGCCTTTAAACTTAGAATTATGAGAATAACTCCGAATTTTGAGTTTAAAGTCTGAGGTTTTGTCTTTGTCATGAAAATTATGTTACTACCAAACATAAAAGGTGTCCCACAAAAATGGTTAGAATATGTAGAACGTGAACTGAACTTTCTGCAATAACTGACTCACATATTACACTAAAACAAATACAAATTTGGACTTTTTCAAAAACAATTTTACAAGTAACTGATTAAATATAGGGCAGCACGGTGGCGCGCAGTGGTTAGCACCGTTGCCTCACAGCGAGAAGGTTCTGGGTTCGGGTGTGGGTTCGGGTG